GGGGGAGGGTGTAATCGAGAGGGGAATGAATGCAACGGGGGAGGGTGTAATCGAGAGGGGAATGAATGCAACGGGGGAGGGTGTAATCGAGAGGGGAATGAATGCAACGGGGGAGGGTGTAATCGAGAGGGGAATGAATGCAACAGGGGAGGGGGGTAATTGGCTGTCTGGAAATGTTGGGTTTGGTCTTGCCCTGCTGCGGAGGGAGCGGAGCAACTCTGGCGTCATCCCACTGGAGCCCGGGGAGGCCAAAAAAAGGGCCAAGATTTGGGGCTCAACGTGGTAGGGATCCTGATTAAGGAGCTTTATGGGCTGGGGGGGGGGAAGGGTAAGGCCTGTTACACCAGGGCCTTGGAGATGCGGCCATCACACTGCAATTCAACTACAGTGACTCAAGTCTTGGGCAGCTAAGAAGAAGAAGAAGTAGAGAGACTGGATTGATACCCCGCCCTTCACTACCCAAAGGAGTCTCAGAGCGGCTTACAACCTCCTTTCCCTTCCCCTCCCTGCAACAGACACCCTGTGAGGTAGGTGGGGCTGAGAGAGCTCTTGACAGAAACTGCTCTTTTTCAATAACAGCTCTTATCAGAACTACGGCTTGCCCAAGGTCACCCAGCAGGTGCAAGTGGAGGAGGGGGAATCAAACCCGGTTCTCCCAGATTAGAGTCCGTGCACTTAACCACTACACCAAACTGGCACTAAAAAAGACGGGCCCCATTTCCAGGTGGCAGGCAGTCGGTGTTCTCAGAGCAGCCTGGTTTCTACACACTCAAGGGGCTGTATATTTGAGGCGGCTGCTTTTGAATTGCCCCCAACTGGAGGTGGCTGAAGACGATCACCGTGCCCCTTTGGGATTCATCGATCTGGCACTTCTCCAAGGCCAAGAAGAAGAGACAGCTGTTTCTCCCAAACGTGGTTAGGCGATCAAGGGCACATCTGGTGAGCCTGTCCCCAGACAGAGTCTTCCCCCACTGCAAACGTGAAGGAATTATCATATTTAACCCTGCTGGATTTAGGACCCGGGTTTGAAACTGGCCAACAAATCATCATTTTGCAGGGGAACTAAGGTGGGCTCGGCTGCGTTTAGGTCAGTGGAATGGAGCCAGAGGGCTCGCAGGAGGGAAGAGAATTGATGCCAGAGAAAGTGAGAGAGAGAAAGCACGTGATCGTCTCTCGCCCATTTGGGATTCCTCGACTTCAGCTGGGAGAGCCCACTGAACAGTAAGAGCGGCACATGGCGGGGTGGGGGAGAACGTGTCACAGACCCTCAGCTGGGGATTTTGAGTCCAAGACAAGCCCCTTGAGTACATCCTCACCCCCTCGCCTGAAGAAAATGCAACTTCACTTCCTCTTCCCCTGGAGCCGCTCCTGCCCTGCCCTTGACTTTCTTTGGGGGGGGGGGAAGGGGCAGAAAATGGTTTGGGGGAAAAGAGAAGGTGAAGTCCCATGCTCACCAAGCTTGGGGGGGTGGAGGAGAAAATTCTCCCCCCAAAAAAATCGGGCCAGGGAAGGGGAGGCAGGCACTTTTCATGTGTTAGGGGGCAGATGAATCCCCTTTACAAATTTGCCAGGAACTGGCAGACGGAACTCGGCACACGTCCACCGCACACCAACTCTGGCTCACTTACGCCCCCGCTCAGCCTCCCTAGACTTCCTCCTCTGCACCCGTTTCTGCCTGCAGGGAAAGGAAAACACGTCAGAGTTTGCTGAGCGCCTATTCCAGAGAATTCAAAGAGTTCCGACTGCCACACGATGGCCTTTGGGGGACCCTGATTAGAGGCCCCCCTCCCACAGCCTACCCTGAACAGAAAGGGAGAAAAGAACTTGCAAGGCAACCAACCTGAAACGGTGTTTTGGGGAATGTCGACCGTCTAGCCGGCATTCGGAAGGTTAAAGGCTTTCCCCCACAATGTATGCGGAAGAGGGGGGAGAGAGAAAGAATGAAAGACCATGGGGGCAAAGAGAGGAAGAAAAAGAAGGGCAGAGGAGAGGAGAAAGAAGCAGAGCGAACCACAGCTAACGGAAAAACCTTCTCGTCGCCAAAGAGGTTTTTTTTAAAAACTGACTTACAAAATAGATATCTGGGACTGGGAGCTCCTCCTCATCTGAGGCCTGGCTGGCCGGCTCGGAGGCTTGGCTGGCCGTCTCCACCTCGATGGAAGCCGCCGTCAGCACCGGGGCACACGCCAGCAAGGCTGCTTGCCTGGGGGGGGGGGAGAGAACCAGAGAAGAGAACTTACTGAGGGTCACGGCATCACCCTGGCGGGTTTCCACAACCGCGGCACCCTGCACCCCAAGGGGCGGTTCTGTTGGCCGGACACAACGAAAGCCAACAGCTCTTCTCTCTAGGCAGTTCTGTGTGTTGTCTCAAATGAGACAGCGTTTCCCTCAGGTTTAAACTGAAAGATTTACGCCTTCATAAGAACATAAGAGAAGCCAAGGTTGGATCAGGCCGATGGCCCATCTACTCCAACACTCTGTCACAAAGTGGCCAAAAATAACAGGTGCCATCAGCAGGTCCAGAAGTGGAGCCAGGACACTAGAAGCCCCCCCAATGTTGCCCACCCCCAAGCACCAAGAATACAGAGCATCACTTGCCCCAGACTGAGAGTTCCTGTCTACACCTTGTGGCTAATAGCCACTGATGGACCTCTGCTCCATATGTTTATCTAATTCCCCCTTGAAGCCGCCCGTGCTTGTAGCTGCCGCCACCTGCTGTGGCAGTGAATTCCATGTGTTCATCACTCTTTGGGATGCACGCACTCTGTCCCATTTAATTCTTTTCTTTTAATTTTGGTTACATTTTTCTTGTTAAACTGTTTTGAGCTACTGCCTGGAGAGGTGACGTATCCCGTTTCTAAATACATTTAGAAGTGGAGTTTTCTGTACGTGCCAGACCAGCATGAGAACCGAGGGCTTGTGTGGAGATGGGCGCATACCAAAATTAATTGTATTTCTGTCACTCTGCAGGGGCTGCTATGGGTGTCTTAACTGCATTGAAAGACCGGGGGGGGGGGAATGACCCCCCCAAAGTGGGGCCTGGGCTACAGATATAGCCAAGTTAGCTGAGGTTAGCTTTTGAAACCAGGATCCGGCTTGCTAACAATCACTCAAACGCCTGCTTTGCCTTGACAGACACCTTGGCTCTGCAGTCGGGGATCCAGAACCTGAAAAGGTGAGTCAAACAGAAAAGAGGGCCAGGAATTATTACCAGTGAGACACCACTTGGCATGTGATTGCATCTTTGGAGGCCTCATTTGTACTTTTATTCTGTGGCTAGTGGTTTCATTTTGGAACGACCTTTTTTCTGGTCCTGCTTGTATTTCTATTTTATCTCTGTATGATTGTACTGTACTATTATATAAGCCAATATGTTCCTCACTGTGTTTGACCTCTGAAGAAGGCCTATGCAGGCCGAAACGCGTCAGGTCAAGCCCGTTAGCCCTTGTGTGTTAAGATTCTGGTATTTTTACATGAGGTGTAGATTGGGCCCTTATATTTTTTAAAAATTCTTTCTCAATAAATACATGTATCTTTTTATATACTATATAGCAGGTATGTCCAACAGGTAGATCGCAATCTACCAGTAGATCGCCGAGGGGTCAGAGGTAGATCACCAACCCCACTTGGTCTCCTGGTATAAAATAAAATAAAAAACGTTCGCAGTTCTTTCTGGATCTTCGTCTCTCTGTTTTGTTTTTGCTTATTTTGCTTACCAGTAAAGGACAGTGGGTGCATTATAAATGGCGTGTGTGGGGGGGGAACCCAACTTTAGTGCGTTAAAATCTAATTTGAAACTAATTTGAAACTTTATTTTCATGGTGGTAGATCACCGGCACTTTTGACCGGAAAAAATAGATCACTACCTGTTCGAAGTTGGACATGCCTGCTATATATATATATTAAGCTTTTATTGTTGGCCCTCTTTTCTATTTGACTAACCTTTTCAGGTTCTGGATCCCAGGTTTCTAGGTTCAGTTCCCCCACCCACCCACCCCCTTTTGTCCCAGTCTGCAGTCAGGGAGCCATGTTGGAGGATAAACCAGGAATCCCTGCATTCACACAATGTATGTGGCTCTGCAGCCAGCTGAAAGCCACGGTTCCAGGTGCTGGTTTGACGCATCTCTAACCAACCATGGAGAGTGAAGCGGCCCGGGGATCAGGCAAACCACAGGAATCACACTTCTGTGATGTTTCAACTGAGCAGACCCAGCTCTTCCCAATCTTCACTATGCGGGCAACCCACTGCATGCTCGGAAAACTACTGCTTCCCCCAAAGGTGCGTGGGTGACGGCATCCATCGGCAACAACTACCCTGCGACAGCATCGGCCTCTGACCCCACATCAGCTGCATCCGGGACCACAATCTCGATGTCGCACTTGGGCTTGAGTTCCACCGTGATCTGTTGGAGATCGTCTTCGATCCGGACCTCTTCACGGGACCTGCAGGTTGGAGGGACAAAGTGCTTGTGCTCAGTTTCGCGTCTGTGCTGTTTCCCTGTATCTAGGCTATTCTTATCCCGCCCTTCTCCTCTAAGTAGCTCAGGGCAGCAAATCAGCACACGGGAATCTGGGATCAGCCAATACACACTGAATCAGACCACTAGTCCCTCAAGGTCAGTACTGCCAACTCTGACTGGCAGTGGCTCTCCAGGGTCTTAAGAAAGCCAGTTTGGTTAGTGGTTAAGTGTGCGGACTGTAATCTGGGAGAACCGGGTTTGATTCCCCACTCCTCCACTTGCACCTGCTGATGTGACCTTGGGTCAGTCACAAGCTCTGGCACAGCTGTCCTTGAAAAAGAGCAGTCTCTGTCAAGAGCTGTCTCAGCCCCACCCACCTCACAAGCAGTGTTCCCCCTAAGCTGAGTTAGTGTGAGCTAGCTCAGTATTTTAGCCTCCGGCTCACACATTTTTGTCTTAGCTCAGGAAGGAGGGCTCCAGAGCAAAGTAATTGATGCAGCAGCCAAATTGCCTGCTTACAACTTTAATGCCAGCAGCTCACAAAGTAGATTTTTTGCTCACAAGAGTCCACAGCTTAGAGGGAACATTGCTCACAGGGTGTCTGTTGTGGGGAGGGGAAGGGAAAGGAGTTTGTAAGCCGCTCTGAGACACCTTTGGGTAGTGAAGGGCAGAGTATAAATCCAATCTCTTCTTCTTCTTCTTAAGCAGAGGCGTTTCCCATCACGTACTGCTTTATTCTTTTAACTGGCGATGCCGGGGATTGAACCTGGGACCTTCTGTAGGCCAAGCAGATGCTCTGCCACTGAGTCACACCCCTTCCCTGTACAATCAGACTGCAGCAGGACTCAGAAATGGGGTTCAAATGGTTTATGCCTGACAAAAATTGCAGTGCAAAAAGGTGTGTGTGTGTGAAAATACAACATAACAATCTTTATCGCAAATAAGTTATAGTGCTTACAGTCTTACATTTACAACAAGCAGCCCGATATTTATTTGCAATAAAGATTTTGACGTTCTATGGTACCTTTGCATTTTCATCCCTTTGTCAGTTATTAAGAAAGGAAATGTCACTTGCCCTAAATCACTTGCTCTTTAATGTGTTGAGAGGGCAGCCTCAACACGGTTTTCCGAACAAAACAAACCCTGCCACGCAACACTGTGGAGTACTGCCCTGGGACCTTCCAATGGCAGAAGAGCGTTCAATGAGGTCATGTGTGACTTATGACAAGGCTCACCTTCCATCCTGCCCCGAGGACTGCGTACGCCGCCTGCGAAAGAAAAATACAGCTTGGACCAAAGGGTAACTCACACAAGAGTGCTCATTCACACACACACACATGCATACATACAACCTTGAAGGGGATGTTCTGTTCAGTGGCTGATGCTCTGATAATAATTCTCCCCATCAAAACCACATCTGGTTGCTCGGTGTTAATTAAGGCTGTCGATTAGCATTCGAGGCCTAAGCGCTTTGGGGCGTGTTTCTGGAGCAAAGAGAGGCGTGCACGCTCCATGACAACCTTGTTCCTCCCAGCAAGGCCTTCTGCAGGTACCATCCCGCAAGCAGGCAAAACCGATAACTGCCCGTACACGTGGCCTTCTCTGCTGTGGCCCCCCACCTTACGGAATGGCCTCCCCGATGAGGTCAGGGTGGCTACCACCCTCCCTCCTGGCTCCCTGTAAACTATGCAAAACGGAATTATTCAGGAGGGTTTTTTTGGACAGGTAAACAGCACGGCACTATAATTAAATGGTCAGAAAGTTGCACTGGACAGGGGCTATTTGCCTACACTACCACATCGCCACTTGTCACCGTAAGGATGCTCCAGACTTGGTAGTTTCTGCACTGCCAAACGTTATCATGTTCAAAAATGCATGCCTCGTTCCAGCTCTGTTTGAGATTTCTGTCTCTTTTCAGATTTCTGTAGCCCAAACCTTTTTGTGCTGTTTTTTTAATCCTCCATCCATTTGGCGGTGACTGACTTGTAAACCGTCTCACATCTCAGCGAGAAAAGCCGACGGTGAATAACCAGATAAATAAAACATTCTCCAACTCGAGACACACGATCCGGTCCTCTTACCTATACCTGGGTTGCTCCGAGGACTCGGAAGGAGACCGCTCGGGGACAGAAAGAGACGTTGACGAGAGTGTCGTGGCTATGGAGGCGGTGGTGGCTTCTTCGAAGGACGGAGGGGTGCAAGGAAGCAGGTCTGGCCGGCCTGATTAGCCCACAGGGGGGGAAAAGGAAACCGCAGAATGTTGAGGCTGCCGGGTTGGCTCATTGGCGCACTTTCCACACAGCCATTGTATGCACAGGCGTACATACTCTTAGTACCTCCATTCAAGGAGGAGCACATCTGCCAAGCCCCAGAGCCAGCAAAGATGATCTGGTCTGTGGTTAGGGTGTCAGCAGGCCTGTAGCCACAGTGGTGCACAACGGGGCAGGGCCCCACCAATCATTTGTCGCGCCCCTCCAATCAGCACTAGGGGTTGCTGTGAAATCCGTCACAAGTCCTCTGCCAATGAGAGAGGGCCTTTCCTTCAATCCCACCTCCCTCCCAGGCTTCGCCAATTCTCCTTCCCTCCTCCCACCTCCCTCCCAGGCTTGGCCAATGAGGAATATGTTCTCCTCTCTTCCCGCCTCCCTCCCAGAGTTTGCCAATGAGGGAGAGAGTCTCTTCCCCTCCTCCCGCCTCCTTCTCAAGTTTCCCTCTTGCACTTTGCTTCCTGCACAAAGGCGTTGCTCCTGTTGTGCTTTGAAGCATGGGACACAGTCCTTTTCACACCTTAGCTTGCTAGCTTGTGCCAGTCATGGATTCCTCTGATCAGCAGCCCTGTAGCACATTAAGGTAGAAGGGTTTTTTTGGGGGGGGGGGCGCTCTATTTTAGCCTAGGTGGACTCGTGACCATTTTACAGTCTGCTGGTTTCCATGCAGCTGTACTGGCCCTTGGAAACACTTGGGGTGGGTGGGGGAAAGAGCTCTGCGCCACGAGCCCACCGTGGAGGGAGGCATCACAGCATTTTATGGTGATAATGAATTGGTGCTGGCAATCATTTTTGCCTTCTCTTTTAAATAGCCTCAGCGGGGAGGGGTGTGTGTCAATCTCTGTTTCTGTAGAGGGGCGCCTCCCCAGCTTCTCTTCCCAAAAAAATCCACCCTTCCCCTGCACGCCAGGCGGGCTGTAGCTGCAAAGGAAAACTGTGTGTGTGTGTGTGTGTGTGTGTGTGTACATACTTGCTAGGGTTGCCAACGCCATGTTGGGAAATTCCTGGAGATTTGGGGGACTGGAGCCCGGGGAAGGTGGGGGGGGGGGACACTAATCAGGTACGGCACAACAGAGTCTACACTCTGAAGTGGCCATTTTCTCCAGGGGAAGTGCTGTTTCTAGTCTGGTGATCACTTGTAACTCTGGGAGGTCTCCAGGCCCCGCCTGGAGGTTGGCAACCCATCTGCATTCCAGCCTGAGTGCCGATAGCTAGCCTTAAGTCGTCCTGTAGCAAGTTATGTGGTGCCAAACCAGACCGGGGTTTTAGGCTTTTGGGTTGGGGGATAAGTTTGATGGAAAATGACGTTGGAAATCAAAGGGGCCACCCATCCAAGAAAACACAGTTTTCTGTGTTCTGTGCGATGCTCCCTCCCAGCCAAACCATGCTGGCACCACGCTGTTCAACCCCACCCCACCCTGGCCTGTTAGGTCTGGGATCCCAAGACTTATACAGAGATTTCCTGTTTTGGAACAGAGGGCAAGGCTTCTGTTTTATCTGTGATCCACAACCCGACGCCGCGTCAAAGGAGTGGAGGCTAGACTGCCCCTCAGGGGTACCACCTACACGCCACTGCATTAGAGACCAGTGTTCCCTCTAAGATGAGTTAGTGTGAGCCAGCTCACAGTTTTTTTAGCCTCCAGCTCACGCATTTTTGTCTCCCCTCAGGAAGGAGGGCTACAGAGCAAACTGATTTATGCAGCAGCCAAACACCTGCTCACAACATTAATGCCAGCTGCTCACAAAGTAGAGTTTTTTGCACACAAGACTCCACAGCTTCGAGGGCGCACTGTTAGAGACAGAGATTGTCTTTCCACAATGGCTGAGGAAAGCGTGGCCCAAAGACACCCTTCAGTTTTCACCCCATTCACTGAGCCCTGGTCTCTGCTACAGACAACAAGGTTCGGGAAGGACGGGAGAGAGAAAAGATACACACACGCACGCACAGAGACGTCACTTTACTAAAAGCTAAGGCAGGGGTCCCCAACCCTTTTGAGCCTGTGGGCACCTTTGGACTTCTGGCGCAGTATGGTGGGCACAGCAACAAAATAACTGCCACAAAAGGGCCGCTGCAGGAAGTGGAGCCAGCCACAAAATGGCTGCTGCAGCTTACCTTCAATCACACAGTGAAAATCCTTGCGCGGCGGTGGCTGCCGCCGCCAAAGCAATATTTCTAAAAATCTGCACCGCCAATCAAAACTCCAACGGGCCAATCAGAAGCCTTGCTGGAGAAAGCCCCGCCTGGCCCCTCCCAGTTACTAAAAAATACTTTGCGGACACCAGGAAAGGTGTCAGCGGGCACTGTGTTGGGCAGCCCTGAGTGAAGGCATCTAGCGTCTTAAGGTGTAGAGCTGCTGCCCATATCTGCTTCCCCAGCAGAGGCCGGGTCAAAGTCAGGGACTGTACCGTCTCACCCGAGGGAATTAACTTTGCCTCTGAAGGAGAAGAAGAAGAGCGATCTAACCAAAGACGGCCTCCTCCAGAGAGAGAAAAGACAACAGATAGGTATTTTAACAGGCATGGGGCTTTCTAGGAGATCCAGAACTGGTTCTCTTTTAGCTAGTGCTGTATGTTTTTCCTCTTTTACAAACTGGCTTATTTACTGGTTCAAACGAGTTGCTCGGGCCCAGTGTTCCCTCTAAGCTGAGTTAGTGTGAGTTAGCTCACAGTTTTTAAAACTCTGGCTCACACATTTTTGTCTTAGCTCGGGAAGGAGGGCTCCAGAGCAAACTAATTTATGCAGCAGCCAATCACCCACTCACGACTTTTAATGCCTATAGCTCACAAAGTAGAATTTCTGCTCACAAGACTCCACAGCTTAGAGGGAGCTTGGCTTGGGCCCCACGGCAGCAGGGGTGGAATTCTGGGGAGGCCGGACCTTGTCCTTATCCGGACCTAGTCCTTATCATCTCGAGGTCTTGTTTAAAGTTTTACGCATGTTAAATTCTCAGCATGTAACCTCTGGCTTGGGCTACATTAGCAGAAAAAGTGAAGCACTCAGAAAATTAAATGTCAATGCTTTAAAAAAAAAATTAATGAAAAACATTACACACGAGTATACCATGAAGCAGATTACAGACTTATTGAGTTCACACACATTTCTTGTCGTTTGGTACTCGTGCCATGCTGCACTAGTCTGGATTATGGCAGACTGACCCCGGCGGCCTCAGGTCATTGGGGGGGGGGAGCATCTTCCTCCCAAGTGAGAGTTCCACCCAAGCAAAGTAGGGACCTGTGGGACTTACACCAGGAAAATCCTAGGCTGAAATTCCTGGTTCGTTCGGGAAGCTCACTGGCTTAACGTCACCAGAAATGTGCTCTCGTCATAACAGCAGCTTTGCAGGGCTGTTGTGTGAGATAAAACAAGGTAGGTCTGGGTATGCTGCATGGAGGCTCTTTGGAGGAAGGGGGATGGGATACAAAGGAAGTAAGGGGGGGGGAAGCAAGACAGCTGTTGCCTTGGGAACAGGAAGAGACATCCCAGCTCCTTCCAGCACAGCTTTCCCACGGCTACTCGGGGGAACAACCGGAGCTCTTACCTTCCCCCCTCTTGTGGTTAACTTTAGTACCTGCAAAAGCACAGTGAGAAATTCAAAAAGATTTATAGGAAATGCTAGTATTTGGGGAGAGGGTAGTCTGCGCTGGGGGGCAGGGAGCAGCAGAGAGAGAGAGAGAGACACCAAATGAGCTAAGGGATGGCTGGGGACATGGCAGGGAAGCCAGGACCACAGACAAATCTCACTACCTTCATCCTCCAGCGTTGGGTAACTCCTGGCCCCGCGGAGGTCATACTGGGCCTCGTCCTTCTCCAAGGGGATCTGGCTGGCTGAGAACGCTGCCATCGGGCCGGGCGACTTGATGGCTAACAAGGCGCCTCGTCCTTTCTTGGAGGGGGATGATTTCAGAGCTGGGGAGGAGAAAAGAGAAGACATGGAGAGCCACAGTGAAGAACACAAGAAGGGGAGGGAAGCCAATGTTGGATCAGGCCAGTGGCCCATCCAGTCCAACATGCCTGTGTCACACAGTGGCCAAAAATACCAGGTGCCATCAGGAGGTCCACCAGCAGGGCCAGAACTCCAGAAGCCCTTCCCACTGTTGCCCCCCCAAGCACCAAGAAGACAGAGCAACACTGCCCCAGACATAAGAGCAGAAGAGAAGCCATGTTGGATCAGGCCAGTGGTCCATCCAGTCCAACATGCCTGTGTCACACAGTGGCCAAAAATACCAGATGCCATCAGGAGGTCCACCAGCGGGGCCAGAACTACAGAAGCCCTCCCACTGTTGCCCCCCCAAGCACCAAGATGACAGAGTATCACTGCTCCAGACATAAGAACAGAAGATAAGCCATGTTGGATCAGGCCAGTGGTCTATCCAGTCCAACACTCTGTCACACAGTGGCCAAAAATACCAGGTGCCATCAGGAGATCCAACAGCGGGGCCAGAACTCCAGAAGCCCTCCCACTGTTGCCCCCCAAGCACCAAGAAGACAGAGCATCCCTGCCCCAGACATAAGAACAGAAGAGAAGTCATGTTGGGTCAGGCCAGTGGTCCATCCAGTCCAACACTCTGTGTCACGTAGGGGCCAAAACTCAGGCGAACAGATGTTTGGAAAGGAGAAGGGGGACACCTTTCCCCCCCTAAACTATAAAAAAACACCCCAGATGCGTTATCTGGCCTCATAGGGAAGGCGCTTTAATTGCATGATCATTTTGATTGCCCTCTTCCGCACTTTCTCCTCAACGAAGGGCCGTACCAAAGGACCAGCCTAGCTGGCAGTATTCTCCAAGGTTTCAAGCAGAGGGACTTTCTACTGCCTTTTCCATATAGAGATGTCAAGGACTGAATGGTGGTCCTTCTGTCTATATGCCTAATTTGTCCTCGGACCAGTTTGTGACTGAGGACATCTGTCCTACTTCCTTTTTTAAGTGGGGGAGCTTCAACAAGCAGAGGCACATGTCTGCTAGGGCATCAGACTTCTGAGGGGGAAGATTAATACTGGATTACTTCTGTGGAGAATTTCTATCTATTTCCTCTTTCAGGAAAATGGAATCGTTGGCTTCCTTTCCCCCATTTTTGTGTGATTTTTTTTCAAAATCGTGAGCTGAAATGGCCTCAGTCTTGGGGGGGGGGGGGAGAGATGAAGTCTAAAGCTGTTCTAAAGAAATTGTAGATTTTCCGGGTTGTATGACCGTGGTCTTGGCATTGTAGGACCTGACGTTTCACCAGTAGCTGTGACTGAAAGACGGAGTACTCTCTGTGTCAAGGTGAGAAGAAAAGTGGTAGGCAGGTAATTTATATCTACTCAGGAAGGTGGGGTAGGGCTGAGTCATTATCTTCCTGAGTAGATATAAATTACCTGCCTACCATTTTTCTTCTCACCTTGACACAGAGAGTACTTTGTCTTTCTGTGTTATACCTCTGAGGAGGTCAGTCACAGCTACTGGCGAAACGTCACGTCCTACGATGCCAAGACCATGGCCGTACAGCCCGGAAAATCTACAACAGCTAATGAACCTTGGCTGTGAAAGCCTTCGATAACATGTCTAAAGCTACCCTTTATAATCTGTTTTTTAAAGCCTTGACATTCACTCTGGGTGACCAGTACTTCAGAACCAGTGTTTCCCAATCTGTGGGCCGGGCCCCGAAAGCAAATGGCAACTCTCTCACAAGTGGATCGTAACATCAGAGAGGGGGGGGGGAGGAAGAGGAGCCTGAGAGGCTCCGTGACAAATCTGGGGCTGCCTCTTCATTGTCAGCCAAACGTCCTCAAAATGCAGCGGGACAGTAGCATAGAGTTCACTTGCGAGTGGGCCCCAAAAAGTAGTACAGAAATAGGTCCCTGGTTCACAAAGTTCAAGAGCTGTTGCTCTGAACACTGAAGCCATACTGGACTAGCGAGAGCCTCACTTGTGGCCACCAGGGAGAGGAAGGCAGGGGCCCGAGAGAGGAGAGCCAGCCCCTCAGTCAAACCTATCAAAGCTCATTCCGGGGGACGGAAGCGAACTGTTAAATCTCAGGTGTTTCTCTCTGCATGAGGGAATGAGGGAATTCACAGACGGTGACTCCGTATCGCTTTCCCTTCCCGTCACCTCCTGCCAAGTTCTCTCCTCTCCACAGCCTCCCAAGGGGCAAGTGTTACTCACAGGAACTCTTCCTGAACACCGTGTTCGTCATGAACTTGAAGAACCTCTCGGCGTAGAAACTCGGCCTGTGAACCGACACCGTGTCCTAGAAAAGAGGGGGGGGCGGGATGAAGCAGGCAAGAGAGGAACCTGGGGAGACTCGTTGGCAAATTCTCAGCCAGGCTTGGCTTGGCCAAGCTGCAGCGATTAGAACTGGGCCTCTGTGCTGCCACCTTGACTGTTTTTCTGATTCTCTTTCCGTTTCAGTGGTGTGTGTGTTTTTTCCCCTCAGTCACCAAAAGGGGCAAGGCCCATCCAAGTTAAAAGTCAACGGAGGAGACGCTGGAGAATAAAGCTGAGATGTGTTCAGTCACGCGCGTGAAGAGGAAGGGCCTGTGCCAGGAGGCCGTCTTCCAGGACTTCAAAAAAGTTCTGGAAACTTTACATCTCTAGCTGTGCCACGCTCTTTGTGGAAAGGGCAGCGGTTCTGAAAGACAGCGTCCGGGCGAGGGTGTTCCAGCTCTCAGGGGCAGCAAGAAATAAAAAGCGGCAGCGCCTGACTCCCTCGAATGGCTGAAGGGGGTGAAGCATGAAGGGCAAAGAGCGCAGGCGCAGGGGCACCGGAGGCTAGGAGTGCAAAGGGGTAAGGGGGTGTGGCCGTGGGAAACACCGAGGGCAAGTAGCCGGACTCTGTGCAGAAAGGAGCAGAGAGGAAGCCAGTGTGAGGTTCGAGGAGGGTGGCGGAGAGTGGAGGGGGAGGGCAAATGATTAGGCGACAGACTCTTGGCTAGAGGGGAGAGGACCAGCGTGCAATGACACGGGGCCAGAGAAGAGGAGGTTGCCGCAGTCAAACCAGGGAGCGACTGAAAGTTTTGGAAGACAAAGGCAGACGGGGAAATCAGAGCCAGGGTGGGACACAGAAGAGCGTGCCGAGAAGCGGGAGGCAGGGGGAGAGTGATGTATCTCAATGCGGTACAGAGAAAAAAGTGAGGGGAGAGCTCTTGGGGGGGGTGTGTGCCTGTTGGTTATAGCACAGGAGGCAGCAATTGTGTGGGTGTGGGTGTGTTGGTTATAGGGGAGAGCTCTTGGGGTGTGTGTGTGTGGGTTATAGCACAGGAGGCAGCAATTAGGAGACTACTGTGTGTGTGTGTGTGTGTTGGTTATAGCACAGGAGGCAGCAATTAGGAGACTACCGGGAATCCGAAACAGCCATCCAAGAGTCCCCTCAAGGATTCCATTTTAACTAGAGGGCAAGAATTGTCCCCCTGGAATACCAGCTTCCAAAGCATTTCGGCTCCCCCAAAGGGCCCTTTTTCAATTACAGCCAGGTCTGTGCATGCCGAGTTAGGTGAATCTGGATTTCACACTGCTGATTTCCCTGACCCAGTTAGCATCCCTGCTCATGTCGCACCACATCTCTGCTAAACGTCAGCGGGTGAGGGGTACTGGGGATCTAACCACGCAGAACCCTGAAGCCCCACTGGGTAAACCCTGCTGCCCTCTGACTTTTGAGGTTTCATCCACAAGTGCTGCCGCATTTGTTTTGACAACTATAAGGGCTAGCGGCTTGCCCTCCTTAATTATGTGACCAATCAGTTGGGTAAAACTCTCAGGGCATACAAGCCCTGCACGTGATACCGAGATTGACAGATTCGATCCAGAAGCGTTGACCATTTACAGAGCTGCTGGAGTTCCCCAAATCATGGTCAACCCTTTTGACTAGGATTCGGGACATGCTTATTACGGCGGCCATCTAACAGAGCAATGCGGACAACATGCCTCAAACTGCACTCTACAGTCAATACCAGGGGTGGCCACCTCGGGATGGATGAAACCTCCCCTCCCCATTTAATCTAGTGCCCGATTCCCTTCAGCCGCAGAAACAGTAAACGCTTTGGGGCTTGCATCCCCGTTGGTGCAGAGCAGCATTTGCAGAAGCATGCTTTCCAGCCTCTCCTGCCCTGCACCTCTGGGCTGCAAGGCGGAGGACGGCAGTGGACGGGGCTGGTGAAAACTGAGCCTACCAAACTAGGGCTGCCAAGTCCCCCGGGTGGGGGCGGGGGGTTGCCTGCCCAAAGGGCCCCCAACCCACCAGTCCGGATCCGGCCGGCAGGGGGAACCCCACCCCCAAAGTGCCCAGATCGGGTCGACGTGCCCGGGGTGATGATGTCGCCCAGAAGCAACGTCATTGCGCTGGGCACGTCGCCGGGCGGCGCTCTAGCAACCAGCCTGAAAACTCTATGGTACCATAGAGTTTTCAGGCTGATTGCTAGAGCGTCGCCCGGCAACGTGCCCAGCGCGATGACATCACTTCCGGGCGACGTCATCGCAGTGCGCGCGCGAATGTCCCGGGCTGGGACCAACTTTTCCCTGCTGCGCCAGGTAAGACACTTGGCAACCCTACACCAAACTGAACTGGTAAAAAGTGACCCCATTCTTTCTACTGCAGAAGAAACCAGGCCTTTACCTCCGCTTTCTGCAATAGGCTTGGTTCGGACATTACACAAAACCAGGGTTTCCACAGTGGTAAGTCTAACAAGCCAAATGCAACAAAGATAACATTGGCCAAGGCAAACCAAGGTTTGAGTGGGCAAGTGCAAGCTGAATTCCAGTTTCACAACCTGCAGATATGATGGGAAACCCATGCTGGTTTTGCATCGTGTCTGAACAGAGGCCTTGAGCAACCAAACTGTGACTGTCTCCGAACTCTCATTTTTAATTTTTATATGGCTTGTGTCACAGGAGATTGGTGTGTGTGGCGAAACCAGATTCCTAGAAACCACAGTGGCAAATAATACAGCCGCTGGCCACCCCCACCAACAGCCCTGCCTGCTTTGTAGTTCACCTACAACTCACCCCGTCGTGAACCAGAGCCTTCCACGTATGTTCCAGCTTCTTGATGAATCTGAATTGCCAGGGAAGCGGAGGGGAGGGGGGAGAGAGAGACACACACAGATGAACAAAAGGCAGATTTTAATTGATCCCAGGCCAGACAACACCCCATTCCGCCCCACACACAAAGGGGTGGGAAATTCCAGCAGACAGATGAGTAAAACTTCCTTACAAAAGATATCACAGGAACACATTGGGATTCATTAAAGTACTTAAGAACATGAGAAGAGCCCTGATGGATCAGACCAGTAGTCTATCTAGTCCAGCATCCTGGCTCACACAGTGGCCAACCAGTTCCTCTGGAGGTCCAACAACAGAGCATAGAGACCGAGACCATCTTAAGAATGTAAGAAGAGCCCTGCTGGGTCAGACCAATGGTCCATTTAGGCCAGCATCCCGTCTCACACAGTGGCCAACCAGTCCCTCTGGAGGTCCAGCAACAGGGCATAGAGGCCAAGGCCTTCATAAGAACCCTAGAAGAGCCCTGCTGGATCAGACCAATGAGGGTCCCTCTAGTCCAGCATCCCATCTCACACAGTGGCCAACCAGTTGTTCTGGAGGGACAACAACACGGCACAGAGACCAAGACCTCCCCCTCATGTTGCCTCCTGACTCTGGGATTCAGAAGATTAGTGCCTCTGAATGTTCCCCTCAGCCATCAAGGCTAGTAGCCATTGATAGATGTATCCTCCATGACTTTTAAAGCTGTTTATTCCTCTGGCCATCATTCACCACCACATCCTCAGGCAGCGAATTCCACATTTTAAGCACTCTCTGTATCGACCTGTATCTTGCCTTTCTATAAAGCTTGAGGCAGCCAACAAGCAGCCTTAGAAAGGTTAACTGAAAAACGAATATGAAACATCGACAGGTACCATATATCACCATGCTAAAAAAAAAGTGCCATGGTAACAGCATAAAAAAACTATGCCTACTGGGGGGGAATATAATATAGAACATTATAATATAGCGTTACCTGGGATCCCCAAGGTTGTGCACGTGGGCACCACGACACCTGCTGACACCTTTCTGGGTTCCCACTAGGTGTTTTTAGAAAACGGGTGGGGCTCTTGCCAAGCAGGGCTTCTGATTTGCCACTGGAGATCTAGCTGGCCGTGCAGGTTAAAAATAACTGCTTCGAAGACAGCTGCCACCACACGGTTTCCTGTATTCTCTCCCACCCCCTTCCCCCCAGTGTATTTTTAATTACCACTTGTCTCCCTTGCACTTGGACCTCCTCTGTGTGTGGCTCCACTTCGTATGAAAGTAATTTTGTGATTGGCTCTCCCTCCCAAGGCAGCCATTTTGTGATTGGCTCTCCCTCCCAAGGCAGCCATTTTGTGATTGTGGCCACCACCCTGGGTTGGAATTCCAAAGGCACTCTATACTGGTGGCACAGCGCGGCGACGGGCGGGGCTCGGGTCGCTCTGAGACGCCCAACTCTTTTTCGCATTTTTCGGGGCCTCCTGGAGTCCGTGAGAGCCCCGACAGCTCTCTTGGGGGGAGAGCTGGGGCAGGGGGTTCTGTGGCGGGCCCCCCCGTGACTGGCAACGCAGGGGGGTGTCCGCTTCTTACCCCGAAGCAGGCGCAGATTACGAGAGAGAACATGGTCGCCATGTTCTCTGCAGCTGCTGCCTTCCGTTTGTTTTAATTATACTTAAACTCGTATGGGATTATAAATACAGCTACGAAGGAAACAGGATTTATAGCAAGTGCATGCATCTTCAAGTGGAAAACGAAAGAACCCCGAACTGTTTGGCGCAAAAGGAAAAGAGAGCGGCCAGAAAAAAGAGAGAAGCTAAGTAAAAAAAAAATTGTTTTCTGCTTTTCTTCGGGGGAAAAGGTATTGGTTTCTTGAGACAGGACTACAGATATAGAACTTGAACTACACTGTGTGAAAATGACTGAGCTAGAGAACGAAATGGATGAGGACATGTTGGTTGGAGAGATGACGGTGGAGCAGTTTCTAGAGGTCTTGAAAGAGGGAATTCAAGAGGGTATTAAAGCGGGCATAAAAGCAGCATTTGCAAGCTTATATGAACCCCCTATGCTACTGGAGCCTCCTGAAACTATTGAAAAATCTACCCAGAGTTTGGAGACTATGGAGCAGACTTTGGAGGTTGGACAAGAAAAGAGAGATATGGAGCTGCTACATATATTGATACCAAGGCAAAACAAGGGAGCAATCAAAAGAAGCCAATTGAAGAGAGAGAAGAAGAAAGGAAAAGGAATTATCTTCAAAGTGTTTAAAGTGAAGAAAAAGTCGAAAAGGGGAAGACAATACCGACTTGTAAGGAAGATTAAAGGGGCCAGGACGATATGGAGACAGGCTTTTTCAAAAAATATCGAAGAGACTGGAAATGAATACCCATCGGTGCAAAGGGAAAGTTTTTTTTGAAAGAGCATATAGACATGTTACTGCGGACAGAAAAATTGATGACGTATAGAAGGCATCTCAAATTACGTGACTTTATTTTGACTATAGGTGTATAATCCGATCAGAGTAAATGGATAACAGGTTACAGAACTAAGGGATCTTTATATTTGACTATATGAATAGGTATTGATTAGATTAGTGTAAAGTGATGCTAGAATATAGGAGTTGGGGCTAAGTGTTAGTGGGGGGAAGAGAATTAAAGGTGGTGGCACAAAATGATCAGTGGAAAGTAAAAGGATCCACTAAAATAATTGTGTCTGTTTCATATAGGGATGTGGAGATGGTTCTTTTTATTATTATTTTTGTTTTGTGTGTGTGTGTGTTTGTTTTGTTTTTTTCTTTGTGAAGTTTTTGGAGGAATTGGATAAAAGATAAATTAATTATATAGGGGAAAATATTTATGGAATGTCTATTTATTTATTTACTTATTTGGTTTGGTATAAAATGAAATGAAATGATTTGATTAATATGAAGGGATTTTGGTTTACTATGAAAATATGAATGAATTGATTTGATTAATGTTGGAATGCATATATAGTGCTTGGATAAACCGTCGGTCCATCAAGGTCAGTATTGTGTATTCAGACCGGCTCTTCGATAAATTTGATTAATATGAAGGGATTATGGTTTATTATGAAAATAATGGATTGATTTGATTAATGTTGAAATGCATATATACTGCTTAGATTAGCGGCTCTTCTATAAATGAGTTTAAAACATTAGATAGAATATTTTTAAAGTTTAATGACTTTAAAGAACAATCCTGACTGGAATAGGCAGGAGGTAAACAATGAAAATATTGGAAAAATTAAAATAAAAAGAAACAAAACATTAAAATAGAATAAAAACAAGTTAATTTAAAATGACATAAAAATTTAAATGGTAGGAAAATTAATATTGATGGAATAAGTGGAAATTCAGATAGTGGACTGTCTTAAGAAAATAAGGTTGATAAAGAGAATTATAAAATGTTGATAATGGATGTATGTACTGGAAAAATTGTCCTAGTTTATGTTTATGACTGATTAAGAAGGTAAATGTAATATTGGTGGACTTGTTGCTAGTTTATGTTTATGATTGATTAAGAAGGTAAATGTAATATTGGGTGGACTTGTTGCTGTTTAGAAATTATTTATATAAGGTAATAACTGGAGGGACTGTTTATTCAAACATATTATAGGTGTATGCATGGTATTGAAAATCCAATAAAAATATATACCAAAAAAAAGGAATTCCAAAGGCACCCACAGGCTCAAAAAGGTAGGGGACCCCTGGTATAGGCGGCTAGTCAGTTCTTTCAATCTAGGATGTATCTTCTGGGACACCTAAAGAAAATCTAATTAAGAGGGAGCACACTTGCTTATTAAATAATTCCCTGACTGCTGCCAGAATTCATCTGGCTATGACTGCTGAGAACCTTCGAATGGATTTGTTGGGCTTGGAAGGTGGTTTGTAATGATCGCTACACAAACAGCCACTGTTGTGAAAATAGACCAGGGTTTCATGTTATGTCTGAACAGAGGCCTTGAGAAATCGACAAGACTATCAGATGTACAACTATCTGTGGAGGGGAAGCTCATTCAAAATAAATTTATATGGCAACAGCCAAGGTTCCCTCTAAGCTGTGGAGTCCTGTGAGCAAAAATCCTACTTTGTGACCTGCTGGCATTAAAGTTGTGAGCAGGTGATGTGGCTACTGCATAAATTAGTTTGCTCTGGAGCCATCCTTCCTGAGCTGAGACAAAAATGTGTGAGCTGGAGGCTAAAAAACTGTGAGCTAGCTCACACTAACTCAGCTTAGAGGGAACACTGGCAACAGCTGCCTTTTGTTAAATACTGGAATAATACTTATCAGTCAGAGACATGGTTTGCCACCTGTGGTCCAAGACTCCAAAATGGGTGGCACCTCTCACACTGGTAGGTCACAAGGGTAAGAGGGACAAGGAGGAAGAGGGCAAGCCACAGGGATGGGCTGTAGCTCAGTGACAGAACATCTACTTGGCATGCAGGAGGTCTCAGGTTCAATCCCCGGCATCTCCAGTTAAAAAGACCAGGTAACATGAAAGACTTCATCCAGAGACCCTGGAGAGCTGCTGTCAGTCAGAGTGGAAAACTCTGACGGACCGACGGTCTGATTTCAGTATAAGGCAGCTTCATATTGTCATCATCACAACACCAAATCCAGCTAATAAGGTTACAGCCAGTGTGTAGCGGTTAGAGGCTCGGATCGGGATCTCAGAAGACCAGGTTCGCATCCCCATTCTGGCATGGAAGTTGGCTGGGGGGCTTTGAGTCAGGAAGTCCTTCTTCACCCAAAGAGTCATTAACACGTGGAGTTCGCTGCCGCAGGAACCCGTGGTGGTACAAGCAGAGGCAGCTTCACGAGGGGATGGGATAAACCTCTGGAGGGGAGGTCCATCAGTGGCTATTAGCTGCAAGATATAGATGGAACACTGTCTAGGACAGTGATGCTCTGTATTCTTTGTGTTTGGAGGGGCCACAGTGGGAGGCCTTCTGGAGTTCTGGCCCCGCTGGTGGACCTCCTGATGGCACCTGGGTTTTGGCCAATGTGTGACACACAGTGTTGGACTGGATGGGCCACTGGCCTGATCCAACATGGCTTCTCTTGTGTTCTTATGTCTGGAGCAGTGATGCTCTATATTCTCGGTGCTTGAGGGAGGGCACCAGTGGGAGGGCTTCTAGTGTCCTGGCCCCACTGGTGGACCTCCTGATGGCACCTGGTATTTTTGGCCACTGTGTGACAACAGAGTGTCGGACTGGATGAGCCACTGGCCTGACCCAACATGGCTCCTCTTATGTTCTTATGTGTGTTCTTAAAACGTCTTATCGGATTTAAATATTATAGGCTGAGATTTTACACGTTTTAAACAGGTTTTACACGTTTTATAGAGGTTGATTTTTTTCCCTATCATATGATATGCACAAACTCTGAGAGTGTTTGATATTGTGAAGGCCTATGGCCACATACAATAAAATGATTCCGAACTCTCTGTACTCTTCAACCTAACCTACCTCACAGGGCTGTTGTAAGGATAAAATGGAGGAGAAGAGAACAATGTGAGCTGCTCTGGGGTCCCCACAGGGGAGAAAAGTGGGATGTAAATGAAGTTGATAAATAGCAACAGGAGTTCAGCGGCAAAGACTTATTCTAAGGAACAGATCTCACCAGGAGAGACTAAAAAGTGGATCCGGTTACCCAAAGTCAACGGAACAGCCCTGTGGGAAAATGCCCTCTCGCACTCCTTAGCGGCCGCTGCCCGAGTGCTTTACCTCCTCCTTCAAGACCGGCTGTTCCACGGGGCTATGGCCACAGCTTGAGAGTGGGCTAGAAGGGTGAGAAGAGCTTGGAGGGGAGTGACAGCAAATGGTGGCTGCTGCAAGGATCCCACTGGGTTGACAGAGGGGGAGAGATACCCTTTGCATAGGCAGGGGGGAGCTTTGTAAGGACATTCCTGTACCTTGAACCTGAGCTCGGAACCAGACGGCTGGTGGTTTCAGAACCAGTAAAAATCTCTAAATCTAATAGTCAGGTGTGACCAGCGTTCCCTCTAAGCCGAGTTAGTGTGAGCGAGCTCACAGTTTTTTAGCCTCCGGGTCACAGGTTTTTGTCTTCGCTCGGGAAGGTTGGCTCCAGGGCAGACTAATGTATGCAGCGGCCAAATCGCTCCCTCACGACTTTAATGCCAGTCACTCACAAAGCAGAATTTTTGCTCACAGGACTCCACGGCTTAGAGGGAGCACTGGCGTGTGACCCAATCTGCAGGTATCTAAATCCAAGAAATGGGGCCATGGTGACTTAAAACCGATTCTTCTGCAAGCTTGGTGAATTCCCGGGGTTTGTATTAAAGTCGGAAAATTTTAAAAAAAACAACACTGGGGGGGGGGATCCAATTCCCCCCCCCCCACTTATCTTGGTTCTACAGATTTGATAGTGACAGACTCCAGGAGCTGCTCTCGGCCCGGTTGCCACCACAGTGGACTCCAGGAGCCATTTCAGGCTCCGAGTGGCTCCCAGACACTGCCGCTCCTGGGGAGGCCTGGAGCTGCTTCAGACTCACCAGTGGGGGATTTCCCCCACCCACCCAC